GGGGGGATGAAGGCGCCCCGGGGCACAGCCAAGAGGACCACCTAGGTGGAACCCTTAACCGCACCCCGCAGATCCCCCATGGCCCCCCAACCCCTACATGAGTGAGTGTGGTCTGTGTTCTGGAGCCAGAGGGGAGAAGGGTAGGGGGGTGCGAGCCGGGAGGGACATAGCCCCTCCGGGGAGGGCAGTCAGGCTGTACGGTGCCCCTGCTGCCCAGGACCCACCACGCGGCAGGGCGACCCGACAGCCCCGGCCCCCCGCAGCCACAGGGCGGCCCCATCCCCCGGAGGGAAACCCACCCCCACCCCCGCAGAGCCCTTCCCAAAAAATAGGTGATTGGAAAAAAAAAAAAAGGAAAGAAAAAGAGGGGTGGGGTGAACACGCATCACACAAACACACCGTGCAGCCACTTCATTCACAACGGCCTGGCCCTGGGACCCCGCCCCCCCCGGCAGGCCCACGCAGCCCCCAGCGCCAGAGAGGAACACCACCCCACGAGCCCCGGACACACCAGAGAACCCCCAAGGGGCCAGAGGGCCACAGGGGGCACACACCCACCCGCCCGTCATGGCATGCCCAGGGCAGCCCAGCACCCCCAGACAAAGGGAGGGGGGACACCCCCCGGGACGGGGAGGCGGCACCCCGACCCCAGAGCCCAGGCCCAGATCCCGACCCATGCCCGAGCAGACCGGCCCCCCGGTCCGGAGCTAGCACCGCCGCAGCAGGGCCCCCAGGGAACCCCGCCCCAGGGGAACCCCGCCCCAGGCCGCAACACAGCTCCCCCCGAGGGCCCCCAAAACCACCAACCCAATCAGGCACCCGGGGCCCCCACAGACATTCAACCAGGACCCGCAATTCGATGAGCCACCAGAGTCCTGGATCCGAAGGACCCCCCCCAAACCCCCTCCCAACCACCCAGAGAAGTGAGACAACAGTCCAGCGCCCTCCCTAAGTGATACCGCTAATCAACGGGGACCAGAGAGAATTTAGTTCAGCTAGTTGCTGTTTGGTGGAGGCAGACATTAGTACCAAGCTAATATAGTCTAGGAGAAGATTTCTAAACTGATTAATACTAAGTTTATCTTTTGCTTTCCAGTTCATGAGAATAGTTTTCTTTGCAATGCATAAAACCGTGAGGACCATGTGAGCTGATTTCCTTTCTATGTTGATGTCATTTAAATCACCAAGTATACACAGTGTGGGACGTGCAGGAATACTACACTTCAGCCATATTGACAGTTCCTTACAGACCTCCACCCAGAACTTGTGAACTGGTGCACAGGACCATATAGCATGTGCATAATCATCTACTGTATTGTCTGTGCAATGTGTGCAGATATTTGAAGGTGTGAGACCCATCCTAAACATCCTTTGTCCCGTAAAATGTGTTCTGTGGAGAATTTTATATTGTATAAGCTGTAAATTAGGGTTTGTTGTCATACTGAAGATGTTCAAACATATTTGTGGCCAAAAGTGACCATCGGTGGTGAGGGATAGATCTGCTTCCCACCTCGAGGAGGGCAGACAAACAGTGTTGTCAGTCTTTGATAATAACTTATATGTTTTTGAGAGAGTTTTTGGGGAGCAGATGTTAAAGTATTCTGCTACCTTCATCGGGAGTTCCAAATCCAGTTCGTGGATGACATACTTCTTAGTTATTATGGATTTAAGTTGTTGGTATTCTAGAAATGTATTACTACTAAGGCCATACTGTGAAAGGAGCACATCAAATGGGATGAAGTGTCTATTTTGAATGACATGCTCCAGCTGACTTATTCCTTTGTTCTTCCATTGAGTAAAATGTAGCATTTTCTTGTTTTGGAGGATGTCAGGATTGTTCCAGATGGGTGTACACTTGCACGGTAAGAGGGAGGACGTGTTATTTTTCAGCTGGAAGCTTTGAGTTTGCACAGACTGCCTCTCTGGGCTTTTCATATACGTATATGGATTTTCAAGCTGTATATTAAGAATAAAATATACCATGGAACGACGGTTGTATCTTAACTTGAAAATGAAATTAAAACTGTTCATTAAATAATAACTAATAACCACATCATCATCTGAAAATATCTATTGGCTGGTTATCAGAGGGACTCCCCTTTTGGAGACAGTCTGCATTAGCTTCTGCAAAAACAGCAGCGGAGTTTATGTTCAACAATTCTGTGGATATGAGAATACAAATTAAACTTTTGACAGTTGTCTCCCTCCATAAAGTTTGTGGTGAACAGAGACACCCAGTGGCCACATAATGTAACTGCAGTATGTGTTCATTAACTTTCCCTTAGGCAGTATATTAAGGAGAGGGAGGACAGGAAGTTTGAATGTTTTTAGTCAGTTTATGATGTGAAAAAGCTCAGATGAGACACAGGTTCAGGTTTTGTTTTGGGGGGGGGGCGGATCAGATGTCTATTCTGTGGCTGTGAGCACTGATGAAGCTCAAACCAGAAATGAGAGCAGCAGCTTTGGCTTGATGTGACGTTTGTTTGCTGTTGTGTTCTCAGGTGGAGGCAGCAGCATCCCTAAAAGCAGCCTCACTGTTACTGCTTCTGTTTGTCTGAGTAGCCTTTCCCTGTAGCGTCTGTTGGATATCCAACTCCGCCCATATCCAAGTCGGCCATTTTGATTAGTTCATGTGACTAGCTTTCTCAGGTGGAAACAAAACTTCCTTATCCATACCAAATCGGGAAGTGAAAAATACATAATTTTATGTTAATATGCCTAACGATATTACTTTGTTGACCCTGCTGGATGAAATATTTATGATATTTAATGTGACGATGTAGTTTATTGTTTATTACTTTTTTGCATTATAAGGTAGTAGTTTTGTAGAGTACCTTCAATTTAATGTTAGCTAGCGCTAGGTCCTGTTTAATTTTTGTTATAGATGTTTCTTGTGAAATTGAGTTTATGCAATATCCATCCCGTGATGTCAAATGAACATTACAGAACGTTATCATTTTTGTGTGAAGAAAGTATGCAAGATCAGTGAGAGCCCAACAGTTAGAGTGAAAATTAACGTTATTAGCCTGCTAACGTTAGTTACACATATGGTATACTTAGCAGAGTTGCAAATAGTCTATACTTGTACAATACTCCTTACAAAATCTCTTCTTTCTTTCTTAGGAAAATTCAAGGTATGGGTGAGGTACATCCAGAAGAATCCCTTGAACTGGTATTCATGTGTAGGGGGTTAAGAAGGTTTTAGTGGCGTATACTGCACTTTCAGCACCTTACACTAAATCTGGTGTGTATGCACGCACGTAATGTAGTGTATCATGATACAATGTGTGGATGTTGAAACATTTGTTTTCCTCAGGCCATCCAAACACACAGCATTATTTGGACCTCAGTGGGTTTAACAGTACGTTATTAGGATGGGAATATGTGTATTGGTGAAAAGTATTGTACTGAATGTAAATGTGATATAAATGTACTTCTGTCTTTCTCTCAGAGCACCATGAGAAGAGTGAATGCAGGACATTGTGTCTCTTTACCATGGACATGTGGAACTGCCCAGCGTATTGTCCATGACAGCGGAGGACCGATGGGGCATTTCAGAATGATGACAGCTGGGATTTAAGAGAATGCCTCCTTTTTGTTTTCCAGTTCCAAGAAGACTACACAGTTTTTCTTGATTCTTGTTTGGCTCTCTCTGCAATGTTCCACACCCCTACCCTTTCCCCTTAGCCAGAGGACACCCCCACCCCCTGTCAACCCCTGGCCCACACATAAGGCTTTTACCATCATTTTAATGTCAAATCTGTATATATATATTATATTATTATTGTTGTTGTTGTTATTTTTATTTATTGTTGTTGTTATGTTGACTTTTAACTGTGAAAAATGAATATTTTTTGGTTAAATTTGTTTGGACTCATTATTATGTTAATATTATATTGAAAAAAATTACATTGATTATGTTGCGGGTCAATTTGAGCTGGACTATGTAAATGAAAGCAAAACAGTTACCAAACCAATAAACAATTAACTAATATTGAATACACCTTTAGAAAAGTGACAGACAATACCATTTTAATTCCAACACTTTCTTTAATGACTATTTTGTTTGGGTTTTTCCCTCTTCACAAACAAATTTTGGAATATTACTGTGTACTTTCTGCAGATGAAATTCTTACATTTCACACAAGAGTTATTTTTATTTTACTGTCGTCTTGGGAGGGACAGACCTGGCATCCAGGCTTAGCATTTTCTTTTCACAGGACTACTGGATGTTGGTTGGGGAACCATCACTTTGATCAACGAAAAAACTGAAACAGAACAGAATATTAGGGTTTACACACACACGGGCCTGTTGTTACTGCATAGTGATTGTTCAAACATGGAACGTTTCCAGTGTGAACTGGCTACAACATGATCTGATATTTATTCCCTGCTGACCACAGCAAGCCTGTCAGTTACAGCAACAAAGGTGTGAAAAGGCAACAAACACTCCCAATTTACAGAGAAATGTCAAGCTTGCTATTTCCTTCCCCAACAGTCAAAGCTTTTTATTGGACTTTCCAAAACCACATCCTAAAGCTTGAATAAACCAGAGCACCATCAACCAGTTGACTGGGAGGAGAAACCATCATGTGCCCAGAACATACATCCTGTATTTACACTTTTCCAGACACCTGACAGGACAATTTGAGGTGTCAGTTTGAAATTCAAATAGTTTGTTGCCTTTTCACAGCTGTGTTGATGTAACTGTCAGGAATTCTGTGGAGAAAGGGCCCCATTCTGCTTCCTGAACCAGACTGGTTCCTCAGAGGGGGGGTCTGCTTCCTGAACCCAGACTGGTTCCTCAGAGGGGGGGTCTTCTTCCTGAACCCACTCTGGTTCCTCAGAGGGGGGGTCTGCTTCCCAAACCCAGACTGGAGACAAGCTGGTGGATAAGGTAACAAACAGCCTTTAAAGGGATTTTAGGTACAAACTTTTTGAATGGGTTCATCGTATTGTCTCCAAAAACAGATCCACCTGCGTGATGTGCAATTTAAACACGGGTGTTAACTTGTTTTCATAGAAAAATTCACCTGCCTGAAGAGCCAATATTCAACTCCTGTGTTTTTATTATCTGACAATGCTCAAACAAATCAACGGTATATCAACACTGCCTTGGCTTCCTGAAGGCATTCAGTCACCAGACTGAAGCAGCAACAACCTGATCGACTAAAGTCCCCACAAGGTAAAGCTTGACTTGTTTTCCTGCAAATGATGTCTCATATCTGCTTGGCTTTGCAGCAATGAAAGGCCACGAGTTGAAGTTTTGAAAGGAAAGCTGACCGATTCCTGTCCTTCTCTGCTTTAATCAGATGGCAAAAACAGGGTTTCAGCCGCCTCTGCTGCTCTTTCTGAGCTGCGTCCTCTGGGTGGGAGCAAATGTAAGGATTTCCTTTGCTCTTATTGTCTTAAATTCAGGGTTGTGTGCTGATGGCGGTCCCATATGGACCACTTTCCCCACCGGAGTAAATTTCTAATCCCATCTCTTCAATCCACAGGCGAGATGCCCCAAAAGGACAGGTGAGTGCTTTACCTGCATGTTCAGGACAGGAGGCTCAGAAAAGGCTGGAGGGAACCATAGCAGGGTCCAGCAAATGACGCAGAACTCTTGACCAAACTAAACTAAGATGAACTGCAGCCCACTGGTCCACGGAGGTGCCAGAGGGGGCCTCCATCATCAAATCAAATCCATTCCAAGTGTTTGATTGGGATATTTATGACTCCTTTATGACTCCTGACCCATCTATGGGCAGCCACTCTGATTTCCTGTATTGTTAGGATAGAAATCAGTAAAAGTGGTGCTAAAAATCTGT